AGTGGGGTACCGGCTGAGGTCCCCCTGGCGCAGGAAGCTCTGGCACAGCCTCGATGTGTTCTGGCAGGATGGTGGGGACAGCAGCATGGGGGTTGTAACTTCAATAGCGTGGTGGGAGTCTGTGCCCCACAGACTGAGCCTGCCCAGCACCCCTGACACCCACACGTACTGCGGGCACCTGCATGTACAGCCTGACCCATCCAACACAGCCTCCATGCACACATATGAACTGCCCCGGTACACGCACTGCCCCTACATGCATTGCCATCTAACACGGCCCCTGCACATACACCACCCTTGCACACACACACGCTGCCTGTATACACACACTGCCATCCAACACAGCTCCTGTGCACACACTGTCCCTGCACACACATGCTGCCCCTATACACACCCTGCCATCCAACGCAGCCCCTATACACACAGCCACTCATGCATGCTGCCCCACTGCACCTACTGCTCTCATTCCCTCAATGCACCCCAAACTGGTGTACCCCAAAGTGTGTGCCCTTTTCACCTCCTGCTCCCCGAACTGCAGTCGCATCCCTTTGCATGCAGACCCCAGAGCTCCCCTGCCCGAGCCCTCTCTCCTGCGCACGTGCTGTGCTGGCCCCAGTGCTGCACACTGCGTGACCCTGACTCCCGGGAAGGGGGTACACTTGGCAGTGCCACGGCGATCCGCGCTGGGCACTGATGCAAGCACTGGTCTGCAGCAGCAGGACCTCACAGCCAGGGAAGGAAGACACACAGGCCACAGTGGCCCATGGCAAGCCCCGTGTGCCCCAACTGACGAAGGTGAGGAAGGCAAGAAGGGCAATGAAGATGAGGATGGTGAGGATGATGAGGGGGGTGAAGAAGGTGAGGGGGCCTGCAGTGCTTCCAGTAGGTTTGAGAGCTGGCGCAGGCAGGCAGGGGACAGTTCACACCCGTGTTTCCTCCATGACAGACGGTTCTTATCATTTGTGTTTGGGGGAGATTAGCTCAAGCTGGCACCATTTCAGAGCAAGGAAGGAGGGGAGGATGGGGGGGGGGGCGGAGGTTCTGGGAAGCAGAGCCCAGGGAAACAGCGGCAGGGCAATGTGTCTGCTGCCTGTGTGTGCGTCAGGGGGGCAAACTGCAAAGGCAGAAGAGCCCTTCAAACTGGTGGCACAAGAATAAATTAGTGTAAATGCGCATGAAGACACTGGGAAGTAGACTGGTATGTGTCTGAGCATGGAGGAAAAGCGCTGTGGGTTCATGAGTGCACTTGTAGGTGCAGGGGTCAGCGTGGCCCAGGGACTCGCAGCCCTGTGTTTCTGGACAGGCAGGATCCCTGTACACCCAGCACCTGGCTGCTGCCTGCACTCAGCCACCATAGGCACCACTCTCCTCATGCACCGTCCCCCATCCCTCAACAATGCTCATCTCCTCCCTCTGGTGTCACAGCACAGAGCAAACCCTGGGTTAGTTTAGCATCTTATAACCCATCACCTGTGATCTAAACACAATGATTTTTTTTTTTTTTTTAATTCAGGCTCCAAACCCCTGAAACTGGTGGCCCTGTGCTGGACTGCTGCCCTGTCCACCCCGCTTCCACCTTGCCCAGGCTCCAGGGGAAGAGCAGACACCCAGGGCAGGCATGGAGGCACTTCCCTGGCAATTGACAGGGATTTGTGGCTCAGGGGCTTGAGCTCAAGAACAGTGTTTGTGCTTAATGGTCTGTGGTGGATTTTTTTCACTCCATGAACTTGTCTGACTGCCTGTGGAGCTCATGCAGGCACTTAGCTCCCACAGCATCTCCAATAAAGTTCTAAACAACTGTTGTGATAGGTGGAGCCAGGAGGGATTAATCCTACACCCCTGGAGAATCCTTCAAGGGGATGCAAGAACCACATTTGGCTTGGTGCATCCTTCCACCCCCACTCCCCAGAGGGATGCACGCACGGCGAGGCGACAGGCTGAGCCCCATTCCCCGGGTCCTGCTACCAGCATTGGCCACATCCCAAGCTAGGGTGGTGTGGAAGCAGGCAGGGCCCTGGGGGGCACCCAGGGAGTCCATGGCCAGTGCTGCCCCCCTGTGCCACAGCTGGCCTCACTGGCAGCTCCCTCACTCCCTCCAACCGGAGCACCGCAACACCCCAGCCCACCCTGGCCCCTGGCCCCGGCACAGATGGACACGGTGCTGCGGCAAAGGTGTCTTTATTGATGGCACCCAGGTGTGGGCAATGGCTCATCTGTACTTCTCGGCCAGCACGGCGGCCACGGCTGACAGGAACTTGTCGAACGCAGCGTGCACTTCAGGGGTGTAGTCGTTGCCCAGGTGCACGGCCAGCACCACCTGGAAGCACTGTGACAGCAGCTGCAAAGCAAAAGAGGGCTCAGCACCACCACTATGGC